AAAATGCATAGATAAATAATTAAAATAGATAGATAGACAGATAATGAAAATACATAGATAATGTAATCTTACTTATTATAAAACGCAGATTGTGTGTATGTATGTGTGTGTGTGTGTGTGTGTGTGTCTATACGTTTATATATTAGATCGGATTTCCTACATTTTTCAACCGATTTCAACAAAACTTCACAGGACTACGAAAAAATTACCTTGCGGTGGTTCTGACAGCGCCAAAAATTGGAAAAACACAATTGTTTTTGCACGAAATCAATTTGAAAACACGATAAAACACGATTCTGTCACCAGAATGAAAGGGGGACAACTCATATCGAGTTATACTTATTATAAAACCCAGGTTGTTTGTGTGTGTTCGTTTATATAGGGGATCGGATTTCCTACATTTTTCAACCGATTTCAACAAAACTTCACTTTTTTTGGCAGGTAGTGTTTCTTATTGTCATGCACACTTTTTTCTTTATTTTTACATTCAGAATGCTTTAAAATTCCATTTACAAGACAATTGTTTATAATAAAATTCTATTCAATCGATAGACTCATAACGATTGAAAACAATGTTTTTGTTTGAGTTTGGGTTTGACCAATTCGTAAAAAAAAAACAAAAAAACAAAAAAAATCTAATTAAGACATGCGTGTCCGTCAACCTTAAACAATAATTTTATTTTTCAGTCTTTATGATGGTCGATACTTGATCTATCTCTTACTGTTACATCACCGGGCAACGCCGGGATCTCCTGCTAGTAGATAATTAAAATAGACAGATAATAAAATATATAGATATATAATGAAATAGATAATGAAAATACATAGATAGATACACAGTCAATGAAAATAATAATAAAAATGCATAGATAGGTAGATAATGAAAATTCACATATAGACAATGAAATTAGATAATGAAAATACATAGATAGGTAGGTAGATAGATAGATAGATAGATATGTACAAACAGAGATAGATTGATAATGAAGACAGATAGATATGAACAGACTGAGGTAGATTTGAACAGACTTATCTAAAAAAGACCGAAATAGATAGATAATGGCTATCGATTCATTAAACAATTATGACGATCGCTGACAAATTTGATTCATCGTTTTGGTTCGCGTGAGAACTACAATGACCTCTGAAGATATCAAAGGACTTGTAATGTTTTGTGCACGCTCGACAAACTAAGTTGTTTTGTACAGAACCTGGCCTGATTTGTAAATTCTTTTCAGGTTGTTTGGGGGTTTACATGCGACGTGTGAGAACTGCACGGTTTCTGCAGGCTTCCTGATACACCCGCATGTTATTTTTAGCGTAGTACTGATCGTAATTTGTCGAAGATTCAAATACATACATACATACATACAATAAACACATACATAAATACATACATACATACATACAATACATGCATACATAACATATATACATAAACATATATACATACATACAATACATGCATACATAACATATATACATAAACATATATACATAAACATATATACATACATACATATACATACAATACATACATACATATATACAATACATACATACCTACATATATACAATATATACATACAATACATACATGCATACAATACATACTTACATACAATACAGACATACATGCATGCATACATACATAATGACCAGACTAGTACTCTCCATAGCTGGTTAGCCAATCTTTTTACAGACGCTTGCTCAGGGACAATTGTTTTTTTTCCAGACTTCAGTCAGTTATGTGCCATGCGTGATACACGCTTAAGCGATCATGTATCTTTCGATACATGACTGACGATATTCAGTCACCCCCCCCCACGAGGGTGTCATGTGGCACAAGGCCTTTTTAACGTGGGCATTCCTGGCCATTAGGCTCGGCCAAAAAATAGCCCATTTGAACCCGTATAAACGGGTTCAGGGGCGGTTTACCTCCCGAAGAAGACTCCGCCCTTCGGCGTAGCCTCCTTCGGGTTCCTCCCGCCCGTAGGAAGAGAGTTAAACCGAACAGTCGCTCAGAAAGTGACGAGGCAGATTTTTTTACCCGCAGTACGTTGCCATTTCTTTTTGCGGTAGACCAGTTGCCATCCAAGGCTATAGAACCCGGTCTGTCCTGCTGCTTACCCATAGCTTGGAGAAGAAGAAGAGGATATACCAAGGGTATTAGCACGTAAGTGAATGTAACGGATTCGACTGGAATTCGAACTCGGTTCTCCGATTCCTAATGTAAAAACTGTCCAAAAATTTGTTGCTTCCGAGTATTTCGGCTAAACTGTCAACAAAAAATAAATAAATAATAAAAATAATAATTGAAATTGTCTAAGAGTTTAGTTGAAAGCGCGAGGAACCAACCTATTTGGGCAATTTTTACATTTTTCTATATGCCTTGTCCCTTCAAGACGTAGGCGATCATGGCCCTCCAAATTTTCCTGTTTAATAAATTTTGTCTTTTTGTTAATTCTCTTAAAACTTGTTCCTTCATCCATTTACTCAAGCTCGCTAAGTAGGTTATGCGTTGTTTTCCTCTGTCTCTCTTGCCTTCAATCTGTCTTGTGAGTATTAGACTTTCCGAGCCCTCTTTCCTCATTATGTGCCCTAAAAACTTCAACTCTCTCGTCTTGATAATAAGTATAAATTTCCTTTTTGTTTCTATTTTCTCTAAAACTTCGTCGTTACTCACATGTTCTGTCCTTTGCAATCTCACTATCCTTCTGTAGAACAAGATTTCTGTTTCTTCAAGTGTCTTCTTCATATGTGAGGGGATTGTCCAGCATTCGCTACCATATAGAAGGACTGATATTACGTAACAGTTCCGTATTGTTTTCTTTGTTTCTAACGAAATTTTTCTGTTTCTTAATACTCTACTTAACTTTTGGAAGGCATCTTTGGCTATCCCAGTGTGTCGTATTTTCTGTCCTCTGTTAGATATTGAAATTATTGTACTTGTTTGATTTTGGCATCTCCTATTTGTAATTTGTACTTTCCTTTTGCTGACATCCATTTATTCTGTCTTCTTGCAATTGACGTTTAGTCCTTTCTTCGCGCTTTCCTTCACTACCTTCTGTAGGAGTTATGTAGCTTCCTTTCTGTGTCTGCTATCAACACTGTGCCATAAGCATATCCTATGTTGTTAAGATTATGACCGCCAATACTGAATCCTCTTAGGATTTATAATTCTCTCGGAACTGCCTCACCGTATGAGCTTGAGTAAGTATGAGTGGCCTGACGATTGGGTCTAACATGAAACAGCCTGTCGCCTCTGAGTGTTGACTTCAATTTTATATTTACATACGATCTATTTCTGATATTGAGCACTTTATCCCATAAGTATAGCACACCTTAAAACTATATTTTCACACACACACACACACACACACACACACACATATATATATATATATATATATATATATATATATATATATATATATATATATATATATATATATATTTGTGAATAAAAAAGACAAAGAGATAAAACTATTCTTAGCCGACGCGTTTTGTCCTCTGAGAGATTTTATCACAGCTAATGTAGGATTTATTCTGTTGCAACAAAATAAATCATACATTTGCCTTGATAAAGTTTCCCAGGGGACGAAATGCATCGGCTAAGAATAGTTTTTTTTCTCTTGTCTTTTTATTCATTTTGTTCCTTTACAGTGACACTCTATCTGAAAATAATTTATATATATATATATATATATATATTGTTTAATAAAACAAATAAAGTCGCTATAAGAACGGTGCTCGATGTAAAATATAAAAAAAAAATATATAAACAATGCCAATAAAAAAAATATAAAAACGATCCGAAAATATTACTGCCTTTCCGCGACATCAAGTTTCATGCGATCTCTTAGTTTGTTATACGGTTGGTTGACTTACAATTTTCAAGGGAAAAGGAACTCAGTTCTTTATTTTCAATATAGACTTCAGAACTTTCTCCCTTGAACTGCCTAACGATTGTGATGCAACTTTATAAGAAACTGGGAATCCAGATGAAGCTTTTAAGTCGCTTAAAGGCAGCAATTATGTGTTTGTCGTATTTTTTTTTTTACTTTTCTTATATTGGCTCTGTTTATATATATATATATATATATATATATATATTTATTATATTTTGTTTTTTTTGCAAAGACAAGGTATCCCTTTGAGTAGGACTGCTATCTAAAATTCAAAACCCCAATTCCAGACAAGCATTCGATGCCTGATGAGGATCGACATTAATTTGTGCCGATCTGAAATAGGCTATACTCACATGAGGTAATTTTGGATTTTTGCTGTAATATATATATATATATATATATATATATATATATATATATATATATATATATACAGATAGATAGATAGATAGATAGATATATATATATGTGAAAAGTGTATATAAATATAAATAAATATATATATGTATAATTATTTATATATTATATATATGGGTTCTTATTAGAAAGCGCTCAATATCAGAGATAGAGCTAACATATTTGGTTGGATAGATGTGAGTTTGTGACCCTGGATTTCACGCTTTAGCGATCGTCAGACAAACTGATTAATGTTTTAAAAAATTTGGGTTTATGTAGATTGGTGTTATTGTGGATGTGGTGGGGGAAATTTCGTCGTTTTGTCATTCATCGTACTAACGCAAAGATCGATGTATGCAGACACATATACATACTTGGTCGGGACTCATACATATATAAACATGTTTATATATGTATGAGTACCTGTCTTCTATTCCTATAATACTTTATGTTTTTTTCTTTGTCTTTTTTATTACTTTGCGTTGTTTGTTTGTTCTTTCTTTCTTTTTTCTTTCTTTCTTTCTTTCATTCATTCATTCATTCTTTCTTTTTTTTTCTTCCTCTTTCACTTTCTTTGTGTTTTCTTGTATCTTCTTCTTCTTCTCTCTTTCTCCCCTGCTCTTTAATAGTCTTTTCTGTTTACCTTTTTTTCACTCTAGCGTCTCCTCCTTTGCCTTTCCCCCAGTCTTCGTTATGACACCCTTTCTCTCACTCTATTTCTGTCTCTCGTCCCACTCTATCATTCACCCTGTCACCCTCTCTCCAATTGCACACTATATCCCCACTCTTTTTCTCTCTTCATCTCTCTCCATCTATACCCGTCTCTCTACCTGTAACCCCCCTCTCGTACGTCTCTATTCCTCTCCTATTCCTCTCTCCCCTACTATATACTCTCCTGTCCCTCTCAATTCCTCTCCCTGTTCATTCTCCGTTTGTACCTTTTCTCGCGCCTTTTGATCTCTCTCTATTCTTCTCTTACCAACTCTACCAGTGTCTCATCCCACCTTATCCTTCTCTTTATCATTTTCTCTCTCGAGCTGTACCCTCTTTCTAACCCTCTCGTTTCAACCTGTACACCTCTTTTCTCTTTATTCCTCTCCCTCTACCTGTAACCTTCTCTTGCCCTTCTCTATCCCTCCGTGTTACTCTCTCTCTCTACCGTTACCTCTCTTTCTCTGCTACATATACTTCTCTCTATTTCCCTTTCTCTCCACTTGCCACATTCTCTATCTATTCTTTATATCTCTCTGTATTCCCCCCTCTCTCTCCCCTTTTACTCACACTCTCTTTTTGCCCTGAATTGATTAAGATGTATATTAATTACTTTATCCAGCAATCAATCATCGTCGAATATTTGGCAGTTCCAGAAAGTGCCTCTTCAGAATTGCCGACAGTTCCTCTTAGGAAAGTATCAGGATACAGATATTCGCAGACAATAATTTGACAGTTTTTCCCCATTGAGAAGCTTTAAAAATCTCTTATTCTAACCGCTGCCTTGTGGAACCGGCTCCCCAGAGGATGCTTCCTCGATAACTATAATATTAATCTGTTCAAATCTAGAGTCAATCGTTGTCTTCTACACATATTGCTATGTCTCTTATGTTGTAACTCTCTCCCTCGAGTGACTCTGGACTTGTACAGAGTGAACAATATTGTAAAAAAAAATGTGCTTGGGTAAAAACTAGCCATAAATTGTAAATACCTATATATTTAATGGGTGCACCAGACTCTCTCTCTCTCTCTCTCTTTCTCTCTCTCCCTCAAACACGCACACACACGCACGCACGCACACACACACACACACACACACACATACGTCAAAGACACATACACACACGCGTGCGTATTATATTCTTTTTGTCCTTTCGTTTAATATTGAGCATTAGGTCTGTTTGCCCAAAACATGTTCCGCACGAATGAAAACCTCTCCGACTTTCAACCCATATATATATATATATATATATATATAGGGAACCGGCCAGGTGCACAGCTGCGCAGCCACCCTAGGACCACACCTGGTTATAGGTTAGATGATGATGATATAATATTAAGAATATTATTATTTAATATTTAAAAGATGACGATTTATAATATCGCTTACGGCCATAATACGTTATTGTCTGATTAGTGTAGTTAAATAACGTATAGCCTGGTCAGTACTTATTTGGGTGGTCGCTTGGCAATACCAGATGTCGAATAACTTTAGGCGATCAGGAATCGAAAGGAGACACGATAACCTAATCGAGTCAGATCGACCCCCTCACTAGGCATTCATTTTTTTAGTTGTATATTTTAAATTTTTATTTATATATAAAATGAAGGTACAATACAACCTCGGTTCTAGAACGTCTCATACGTCAAACAAATCGATTTACGAACAGAAAATTCAAGATGAAAATACCTCGGTTATCGAACAAAATTTCGGTTCTCGAACAACATTGCCGAATCGAGCCGAACCGAATTAACCCGAACGGAATCATTTCTTAGTCGACCGCCATGTTGTTTACATTCATGTGTTGTGCGTGCTTTTCTTTTCCAATTTTATTGTACTGTGAGTTTTTCTCTAAATTGATTCCTATTTTTAAAATAGTTTCGGTTTACGAACATTTCGGTTTACGAACGGCCTTCAGGAACGAATTAAATTCGTGAACCGAGGTTCCACTGTAAACAAAAATCCGAATCTTTCCATATCGCGATTTCTCCAGTGAAACATCAGGCAATAAAAAGTCAGCATTTTTTCCTCTATTTACCTACAGGTGGCCGACACTATTTTTCAGACACTTAATTTTTTCAAGTTTTAGGTAGCACAGGAAGTCTGTACTGTTTTAGTGTAATGGCAATAATATTTAAAAACGGTTTCAATACTACAAATGGAAAAACAGAATTCAAATTAGAAGTATTTTTATTTTTTTACAAATTTTCACATTACACAGGCGACAGTATTTTTCGGACATTGCAGAAACAATGCTAATAGTTTATGGCAGCACCTTTTTTTTCAATGACTTCTATCAGTCTATCTTCATAATGTTCGTACATATTGATAATAACGTCTCTTCGTGTTTCTAGCAGTCTATTTTTAGCATCTTGTATGCGCTGCCACAGTTCAGCCTCTCTGGTTATTTCTGGCCCGTCGTAAACAAGGTCTGCAAGCATTTCCCATATGTTTTCAATTAAATTTAAGTTTGACTTCTTGCAGGCCATTCCAGAGTAGTTATATTTGCTTCACACATCCAATTTTTCACTGATTTGGCCACATGGATGCTGCAGTTATCTTGCTGCAAAATAAAATTACTTCCCATTTCTTTTTCTATGAGTGGTAGGGCTCTCTTTTCCAAAAGTTCTCTCTAACTCAAGCTATTTTGACGTCCTTTTAACCCCTCGAGCCACAAGTTTCCATTCGGAAATACCATACCCGAAACCATGACTCCTCCTCCCATCTGTCTCTTGTTGAGAATAACAGGTTCACCTTTTCTCGACCATGTACATCACCCGTCAGGTCCATCGAACTTAAAACGTTTTTCATCAGTGAATATCACTTTCTTGAAGTCGACATGGTTTGTTATCCATCTTTTGGCGCTTCCCAGCCTTGCCTCCTTGTGTTTTCTCGTTAGTGTAATTCTTTTCTTGATTTTAGCATCCTCAAGTTCAATTTCGTGCAGCTTTTTTTGTACAGTTCGAACACTGACGTCAAGTTCACACTTCTCCTTTACTTTCTTCGCTGTCATCTTTTCTCCAGATGATAACAACCTCGTAACACTCCTCTTCATTCTTCTTTCTGTTCTCTTGAAAATTGTTTTTTTCCGTTCTCTCTTCTTCTTCTTCCGCTCATAGTTTGTACTTAGTATGTATTCAACAGTTGACTTCGGTAGCTTCATCTCAGCGGCGATCTTTTGGATGCTGAGCCCGTCTTCTCTCTTCTTTTGGACCAAACTGATGACTTCTTTTGAATGCATTCTTCTTCAGGATTTTAATACGTTTTCGCAGTGAATGGTAAAGATACTCAAATGTAATGGTCAGGGTACAATTTACCTGCAGAGAATTTGCATATTGTAGACGTTCGACGACTAAATCATTAAAAAACACGGAATTTGTGTCATGTCCGAAAAATAGTGTCGCCTAAGTTGAAATAAAACTAAAGAAAACATGAAACCAAAGACAAACCCATCAATCAATGTTCATACCATTAATGGACAGTTACTGCTGAACTACCTACTCATCAACACAAAAGCTCTCGGCAGCAAAAAAACACCTTTAAGCACACTTTTCAAAGTGTCCCAAAAATAGTGTCGTCCTCCTGTAAATATGTTACGTCTCTGACGGAAGTGCGGAAAATGCATATTCTGTTAAGAAATTAATGTACTTTACCCTGGTTTCCTAGTAAATATTCACTATCAGGGATTGTGAACTGGGGCATGATTTTGGCTGGTCAACTTCAACGCTTCGAAGACAAAACTGTCTCTCTATTAATCACCACAGAAAGCCTTCCCTTTTTCCATTAAAATGTCTGACGCTCTTTTACTTTCATTTTTTTTATTTCGACTTTGAATCATATCTCTGCGGCTTCTCGGTCTCACGTTGACTGCTGACCTGAGATGGAATAAAATTTACATCGAGTCAATTGCCTCGTCCACTGCGAGAAAGTTGGCTCTTTTCAACACCGGAATGGAACGTTTTTCTCCCGAAATAGAGTCGATCCTCCAGATATAAAAATCCACAATTATATATATTATATATATATATATATTGCTGCCATATATGGTCTGGCGCCCCTTCTGTTTGCCTCAGGGTTGTTGATAGCAGGCCAGAAGCGGATATGCAATATGGTTGGCCCTGCCCGTGGCGTCTCGTCAGAACAGTCACTTTCTCACAGACGAAAACCGTCGCCTCCCTCTGTCTGTTCTGACAAATGGACAGGGAAGGATGGAAATTTGCTCCGAGGAACTGCATTCGCTGGTTTCCCAAACTTCATGGAGTTCAAGCGCCCAACACCTTTGAGATGGGCTGGCATCCCAAGACTCTCACCCCTTCCTGCCGAAATTCTTCCTAAATGATAGCCGTCTCTTCTATTGAATGGTAATAAAGCTTTTTTTGTCTCGCACCTCGCGCCTGTGGAACTCTCTTCCCTTCTCCTGTTTCCCACAAGGTTATAATCTCCAGTTATTGGGGTGTAATGTCAATCGACATCTCAGTTGCCTAGTTTAATCTATCACGAACGTTCCTCATCCTTTCTTCTTCGTGATCCTCCTATCTGATCTTCCTAATTTTCTGTAACCCCTAAACGTCCTAGTGGCTCTCCGTAAAAGTTTGATTTTGGTGAAAGCGGTCTTAAAAAAAAAGTATATAAATGGCGACATTCTATTTTTTCAAGGTGTCATTGAACATCAAATTTGAAGAGGAGTTGTGTTTAAGCATGAGACAGACTGTCGAACTTCTGCGCAATTGACCTCCTTATCTACACAGGTCAAATTCTCTGATCTACTTCTTAATTTCACAAAAAATATTAAATTCAAAACAGGAAGATGCCGTAATTTTTTTCTTTTCTTTTACTTTCATTTTTTTTATTTCTGAAATCGACAAACATTTGAATCTTATTCAAAGATCATCTTCAGGTATATTGAATCAAATTACTAAGATAAAAAATCGATGTAACTGATAGTGTGATTTTTTTTTAAACACATAAACCAAACGCACACTATTATAATTAATTTGTAATTTATAATTAACAATCAAACAAATCCTTTTACATCATATTTTGCGACTTTTATCTATGAAGGCCAACAACGAAAAGTGGTCGTCTGAATTTTTCAACAGACGGGAATGGAAAACAGACGGACCACTTTTGTCATTTAGAGGAAAAATAGACTTTATACCTATATGAAAGAATTTAAAGTCATTTGTTTGAATCATATATATATATATATATATATATATATATATATATATATATATATATATATATATACACAAATATTTCCGTGAGGGTGCTGAATAGTTCCCCAAAATCTAACCAAATATCTAAACTTCACAATTTATTTTGAAATGGGAAATGTTTTTATTTATGGAGCTGAGAACTTCCATATATATATATATATATATATATATATATATATATATATATATGTGTGTGTGTGTGTGTGTGTGTGTGTGTGTGTGTGTGCACTCACAGGTAGGGAAGACTGAAATAGATAAACAAAGGTTGTGTAAGATGTAAAATGGGATTGATGATGTTTAAAATAATGAAGAAAGGCATATGTTACTTTAGTATGCAATCCTGGTGGAATTTAAATTTATCTTGCGTTATCTGCCCTTCTATCTTGTTTACCCATATAAAGAGTTATGAAAATTTATCTTTGCATGCCTGTCCATTCATTCATTCATATTGACGGGCATTTTCACGAACTCATAATTAAATTCCCCCGTTAACAGATCATTCCGAAATATCGACTGGTGTGTGTTTCATTTTAATCATCATGGCCTATACTTCTAGTTTTTAATGCCTTAATATTTATATATATTTCAAATATTTGCATCTACTTTTCTGTTTTTCAATTTATTTTGAAAGTTTTATTTTCCTTCCTTGTTTATTTCTTTCTTTCTTTCTTTCTTTCTTTCTTTCTTCTTGTCCTTTTGGGAATTTCTATCCATTTTTCTTCTCAGTTTTCTGTCTCCTTTCGACTATATTTCTTTTTCCTATCGCTTTTCTTCCTTTTCATCATCTTCTAGTGTTTCCCTTTCTTTTCTTCTTTTTTTCTTTCTTTCTTTTTTATCTTTCCTTCCTTCTTTCTTCTCTTCCATTCTTCTTCTTCTTCTTCTTATTATTATTATTATTATTATTCGTTGACTTTTCTTTCTTTTCTTTCTTCTGACACTTTGCTTTTGTCTCTTTCAACCTCACCTTGCTGCTCCCATCTCCGACTTCACTTCTTTCGATCGTTCTTCTTTATTACCTGCTATCTTCTTCTTCGTCGTCGTCTTCTTCTCTGGTTCCACTTCCCATTTCTTCTTCTTCTTCTTCTTCTTCTTCTTCTTCTTCTTCTTCTTCTTCTTCTTCTTCTTCTTCTCCCCTTTCCATTTCTTCTTCTTTACTTCTTCTTCTTCTTTGATTCCCCTTCCCATTTCTTCTTCTTCTTCTTCTTCTTCTTCTTCTTCTTCTTCTTCCACTTCCCATTTCTTCTTCTTCATCATCTTCTTCTTCTTTACTTCTTCTTCTTCTTTGATTCTCCTTCCCATTTCTTCTTCTTCTTCTTCTTTGATTCCCCCTCCCATTTCTTTTTCTTCTTTGAACCCCCTTCCATTTTTCTTCTTCTTCTTCTTCTTCTTTTGATTATCCCCTTCCCATTTCTTCTTCTTCATCATCTTCTTCTTCTTCTTCTTTTCTTCTTCTTCTTCTTCTGTAAGCAATTATTCCAAACAATATTTTCTCATAATTTCAAACCCCACATTCCCAATAATTACTCGTTTTTTCATTTTTTCCTCCAATTTACCATATTTTGTAAACCTCCGTACTGCACTTTCGGCTTCCAACTCCCTCCACAGAATTCCTACCCGACCCTCATTCTACCCAACATTCCACATGCCACGTGCCATCTTATATCAGTAGATAAAGAGCCAGGCAACCTTGATGCCAGACGACGAAGTGATGTCAAAAATTAAGCATATCAGATTTTGCAACAAAGAGTACGCCGTCAGCTTTCTCTCATCACTCGAGCGCCTTTCTAAAATAAATAAGTATAAGGTTGATGCAAAAGTTTTCAGGGCTATGTTTCGCACAAATTTTAGGGAAATCTTAGATGTGTCTCTGAAGTTTATGTAACTCCATATTGTTTGTGCGATCAATCTGACGCCACTTGCTATGCGCTGTCTCTACAAGAGCCAGACCAGATCAAAGTGATCATGGCTCTCCACAACTTCCTTCCGTTTTTAGCTCTTAGCAATGTTTTTGCTGTTTCTTTTAACCCCTGTTCTGCCAACATTTTAAACCAGCTCGTTCGCTATGTTATTTGCTATCTTCCTCTATCCATCTTGTTTTCAATATGACCTGTGAATGTCAATTTTTCTAAGCCCTCTTTCCTCGTTATGTGCCCTAGAGATTTCACCCATCTCTTTCTGATGTTAAGTATAAAGGTTTTGTCTCCATTTTTTCTAAAACTTCATCATTGCTCACATGCTCAGTTCGTGATATTCTCAGCATCCTTCTGTAGATCTACATTTCTTTTGTCTTGTCATTACTTCATCTGCGAGGGAATTTTCCAGTATTCACTGCCATATTGGAAGACAGATATTACATAACAGCCCAGTCCTCTTTTTTTTGTTTCTAACGAAATTTTCCTGTTTCTTAATACTTTGCTTAGCTTTTGGAGGGTATCTTCCGCTATCCCAATGCACGTTTTAGCTGTAGCATTTTCCACCCTATTTAAAACGCTTCCTAGGTATTTAAAATTCAGCAATTGCTTGATTTTGGTATCCCCAATTTGTAGTTCGCATCTTAGGCTATCCTTTCGCTCCTTCTCTCCCCGGCTATGGATTAATTAGTAAAACTTCTATCACTAAAAATATTTATTATCTAGATTTCAGCATTAAATAACCCATAGAGGTGTCGATATGCCGCTAAACAAAAACAACCGACCAACTGACCATTTATACGTTACTTAGTTTCTTTTGCTCCCAAGTTGTGATCGAATTGCTATGATCGTTACCATTTCCAGGACAGAAAATGGTTTTATTTTAATAACTCATAGGATAGGACCATGGTGTTACCAACTGAAATACATTCTTTCTTCTTACAGATGATGATTAGTTCTTTTCGCTTTTCTTTCCTACCTTCTGTAGAACTATTCCTCATTTTCCAGACTTTATCGAAATGTCTCCGCGGCCTTGTGGCTTATGAATTATTGTCCATTGTACAATCACTATCCTACAGTCGAAATATCCCAAGCCTCTCGATACTCTATCGCTATTTACACGGTAAATATTCTGACGAGATACATTCTTTATTTCCACCAATTCTTACCTTCGCAGCTAAGACCCGCCGTACACTAGAACGAATCATCCCCATTGTGTTCATATTCCATTAGTCAGGAGGAAGTTCAATTCGGACAGCTTCTTTCCAAGAACAGCTACTTTATAGAACAGATTCTCGAGAGAATGCTTTCCCAATCGCTACAATCACTTAACCTTTTCAAGTCTAGGATTAACCGTTACCTTTCCTATATATCCTCATAAAGTGCATTTCTTATATCCTCCTCTTACAGGCATCAACCTCATTCACTAACTCTCTACCTTGAGTGGCTCTTGGGCCTTGTCTCCGGAAGTATAAAAATGGCTTCTAAACGTACTTGCAACGATATGATAGAGATGCTCAGTACATACATTGTCAATATGTCGCGCATTCAACCTCCCTCGCAAAGAGAATTGGTGGGAACATAAGCCACGACATGTTGTACAGAATTAAGAGCTTTCCCCCCTCCTATGGAATTTCAGCTTTCAGACGGATAGGGAAATCACAGGCGAATCGGCCTGGCATAATTTTGAAAAACATTTTCTAAACTCCACCATTCTGATAGAGTTTACATGCCCTGCAGAAAAACAAAAGCAAAAACAACGTATCTTTAGAAACATTTGAGAAACTCAGCAAATACAAATGACCTCGAGATCGAAATCTGTAGAAAGTGAGACAAGACAACACGATGAGACAATCTCAAGACAACACGATTACCTTTTGTTATTGGGTATTTGAGAATTAATATCAAAAGAAGCATGCAAATATGTGGATCTAATTCCTTGCGGCTGCAAAATATGGAAAATGCCAAAAAAATCATGCTCCTGGCCAATTCTCACATCTTGTGTAGATTTCTCTTCATGCAGTGACCAAAATTTCATTTCTTTTTCGCTTTGATTACATAACACCTCATCTGTTTATATCTTTGGATATTTAAAAAAAATAAAAAAAGAACTTGTTCAAGACTTTGGGGAAAACACGTACTGAACAATTCTAAAGGCAAAGAACAACAACAACAACAATAATAATAATAATAATTTGAATTACTGTCAAAATATTATTTTCTGAGACTTGGCGGCAACTCGTACTGAACAAACGTGTCGATGTTTTAAAAATGCCTAAAAACTTTATTTACATACGGAAATGTATTTTTCTTTTAATATGGATAAAGTTAAAGTTATTATCTTTCAAATAAAATCAAAATTTAACTTCAAAGTAGACAATAAATTCATTTCAAATAGATTTACAGTTTTTTTGTAGGAGGACCATGTTGTTACCTATTGAAAAGAATGAAAATATAAAGAAGATAATGCTGTAGTATCGAGTAGACTTGCTGGCACTTAATCCCCAGTGTAGGCCTCTAGTTATCATCATCATTATATTTCGATTTCTGCCATGGTCACTCAACCTACCAAGTCTGCGGGAAAATCTAAGGCAGGTAGTGGTGTGTTGTTATGGTTACATTTAATGATTTGTTTTTCTAACTCCCATAATATCACTAGGGTTACATGGACAAATTTCTTCTTAATGTGTGGGCTCTACTCATCAAGACATTTTTTGTATATCTCTTAAGCTGGAGCTTCCGGGGATTTTTTCAATGTGTTGTTGTGTTCCTTTTTTATCATTCCAAGCGCACCTACTCTGACTGGTACTATTCTTGTTTTCAATTTACACATTTTTTCTATTTATTATTATTATATTCATGATCATAATTGTTATTATTAAATGACTTATTTTTATGCGTTCAATCTTATAGTTTATTAATTTATTTATTTGCTTAATTTGTTTCAACTTTTCTTTTATGTAATATTAATAAACGTCATCTGTACTTTCTCTTAACCTGGGATTTCCAGAGATTTTTCAATGTGTTGTTGTGTTTCTTTTTTATCATTCCAAGCACACCTACTATGACTGGTACTATTTTTGTTTTCAATTTCCACATTTTTTCTATTTATAAAACGTCAGCTGTACTTTCCCATTTATACAGGCTTACGGCCGTATCACGTTGAAACATTGGTTCCGTAGGACCACCAAAGGTAAACAACATCGATTTTCGTCAGTGCCTAGATGGGAATACCAGGCGCTGCAAGAATGTGTGGGTGGTGTAATAGATAACAGCTCGGAATTGTTAATCGGAGAGCCTAGTTCCAATTCCAGTTGAGTTCGTTATATTAATTTACGCGCAAACACACTTAGGAAAGGTATGAATCCACCCCTTCTCTCCCCGGCTATGGATTAATTAGTAAAACTTCTATCACTTATTATCTAGATTTCAGAATTAAATAATCCATAGAGTTTCTTTTGCTCCCAAGTTGTGATCGAATTGCTAAGATCGTTACCATTTCCAGGAGAGAAAATGGTTTTATTTTAATAACTAAGCAATTTAATTATAAAAGTCATCAAAGATCAGTAAAGATCAGATTAGAAATGCATAACAAAAGTTATTATTTTTAAATGTTTTCAAATGCAAATTAGTTACTTCCGTTAAACAATAAGATGTAACTTGGCAAATATATGACACAAGCTACTTGACGTAAATGACAAGATCTTAGTTATTTGATGTCACAAATTCAATTAATATTTTCTCTCACAAAAAGCCAACTTTACATATTTTAATTTTTTTCTCGCTCGAGACTATATTACATAATTGCAAGCCTGCCATTCGCCCATGCCTTGAATATTGCAGCCACATATGGTTTGGTACTCCTGTTGTATATTTACAGATCCTTAATAAATTCCAAAGAAGAATCTGCAATGTTATTGGTCTCGGATTCAGTCACTTCCCCACCGCCGTAATGTAGCCTCTCTGTGCCTTTTCTATAAATATTTTCATGGGAATTTTTCTTTATGAATTTAAGCGCAATACTAGATTGGCCGTAATTTCTTATCATTTTACAGTTGAAATGGCTGGATGTACCTATAAGTTCTATGCTAACAGTTTCTCCTCCCGCACTTCTCGCTTGTGGAACTCCCCTCCGACATATTGATTCTCTGTCGATTTTGATCTTCAGAAATTTTTTTCTGAATTCTTGTTCTTTTATCATTTTCTCTCTTTAATAACGTTTTCTTTTTCTCATATGAATTTAAGCACCGTACTAGATCGGTGACAATACCTCGTCATTTTACAGATGAAATGGTTAGATGAACCGTAAGTTCTATGTTAACAGTTTCTTCTCTCGCACTTCTCGCTCGTGGAACTCTCTTCCAGCTTCTTGCTTTCCAGTTAAGTTTGATCTTCCAACATTTTCCACTGTCAATCGTTATCGTCTGCCTTCTTCATTTCTGTTCTTTCATTGCTCAATAACGGATTTTCTTTCATTGTTGCAACAATTTTATCCTTATATACGTTCACACTTAGTAACCCCTCCCCGACACAAGTGTTAGTGGCTCTATTGCCTTGATTGGGGTAAAATGATTTAAAAAAAATAAATAAATTTAAGTTTCACTGCATTTGAAAAATGTTTTATGTTCACTGCAAAAATGCGACATTACTTTCCGAACAAGCGAATAATTACTAAAGACAAAAACTAAAGATAAAAATAAAAATAGAACTGACTTGCTAAAAGTATCGTGGCGTAATACAATCTAAGAAATTATTTTTTTAGTTGTCACTAGGGAGGAAGTATGTTGGATTAATCTAGTCTTTGTAGACGGC